GTCCTTCGGTTAGTGAATGTCTTCTGAGATGAAGAGTGAGTGCCTTCTGAGTCGTGAAACATTTGTCACAACTATTTTGACTGCATTTAAATCTATTAAATCAAAAACCAAATCAATTAGCGGTCAGTAAAGACACCGTCAATACTCACGGCTTGTCCTCGAAGTGTCGCATCAGATGGACTCTGAGATCGCACTTCTGGTAAAACTGTTGATTACAATCTTCGTTGTCGTCTTTGTGCCAACATTTGTACGGCTTTTCATTGATATCTGCAATCATTGAGACATTAAAAACCATTGAAACATAACTTCGGGATCAATGGCTCACGTCTTCGGATGTGTCGGACGGCTATAGAGCTCTTATTAGTGACGAAATGGCAGTCATCGCGAAGACATCGATAGTGTTGTCGACCGTCTCGTCTAAATCGGTGGTAATATTGGCTATAATTGTCGACACAATCGACGTTGAGATACATTGACGACAATTGGCTGTCAATTGTGGCCACATATTCGGGAAGCGCTGGTCTGTCCGCCATTGCGGCCATCGATGGATCCGTCGACGACACTGTCATGTCTGCCATCCCTGATATGTGTCCTCTCGAGTGAACCAAACGATCAGTTCATTGAACGACAAATCACTGGAAAGTATTGTATGAAATGAATGACAGTTTTGTTCATATAATGGACTCAATGTTTGCCACATATTGTATAGCGTTATAGACTTAGACATCAATTACTACTCTATTTATGAAGTATTCGCACAAATGGTCTCTTTTTATGTCCATTTGGCCCAACATTTGGTCCAATAATTAAATGCATTTATTTGTAATTCAAAAAATACTGCAATTAGACCAATAATATGTCCAATATTAGTGTTCATCATTTATAAATGATGATGGTCACTCTATCATTTTTTCATTATTATTTTTATTCTACTGTATTATATTAATGATAAAAAGTTCACCTAGATAATAATTATTGCAACCAGAACTCAAGCCAACAAGATTTAATTATTATAATCTTGTTGACTGTTATTTTAATTTGTAAATTAAATTAAAACGTCAAAGATTTGTGTTTTTTGTTTCAATATTTTAAAACTCAAAATTCAGTGTAACATTAAATATGCAATAAAATATTTAATATTTTTATAAGTTTTAATTGTATTGAATTAATAATAAATGTTACTTATGTAAAATGTTTTGCTTTTATTATAAAAAACAAATATTTAATATTATAAATTAATTGCTAACCATTTTATGTAATAATACATACAAATATTAACAGTAAATATGATATCCAAGAATATTCTGTGGAAGAATTTTTTATTAACAAATTAAAAACCTTTCTAAAATTATTATTTTAAAATATATCAATTTGTGACATAACTTATATTGCAAGGATTAAAGTACACATAAACCTATACTTTAAATGATTTCTTTATATTCATTGGAATATTCCTATAAGAATATAAATCTGTAATCGAAATGAATGCATTAAAACACGCAAACAACTAATTATTGCGGTTTAAAAACACAATCTTTATTATAGTAATGTGTTTAGGAATTAGAAAACTATTAAACAAAAAAAATGTATTGTTTGTTATTAATAAGATATATGTAACGAGTTTTTACACAAGTATTTTAATGCAATAATAGATTAACAATTCAGTAAATAATAGTTTGTAATAAATTTAAATCGATAAAGTAATAAACTATTGGTTTTCTAAAACAATTACATTTGTTAATTTTTCCATTTTATGTGTAAAAATGTTTGCTTCTGTTCTTGAAATCACTACATATTTAAAGATCATTTTAAAAATGTTTTTAAACCATGTTATTTTAATTTTATTGATCAAAATTGGGGCACATTTTGTGAAAAGCAATGAATGTATTAAATACGATGAATTTGAAGCCGCCTTAAAATCCACAATGAAATCAATGAAATTAATGTCTTCAACAAAAGACGATGAATCTAATGATAATAACAGTACGTCTAAAGGCAATCATCAATTTAAATATTACAACAATTTATAGTTATTTTAAATAATTTATAAATTAAACTAAACAATCAATAATATCTTACAGAAACTCTACAAACTTCCGATGAATTGGCTAAAGACAGGGAACAAATCAAATCATTGCCTTCATGTCTGTCATATATATTTTAAATAATTTAAAATGTTGTAAAAATATATATTAATTCTCAATATAGACGATGGGATGCCTTTGAAAATCAACATGACTTTCTATATCGATGATATTAACTCAATATCAGACGTTAATATGGTATTCAATGAATAATTACATTTGTTACAAATTTTATAAAATATAACAATTATAAACAGGATTTTAGAGTAGATTTCTATTATATGATGGAATGGACGGCAAAGAACCCAGATTGTCACATGTATCAGAAATCACTGCAGGGCAGAAATATAAGTGTGGAAAACGTGACCCAATCTAACAAATTAATTATCACTAAAGACTATTTCACACTGTTTTGGTTGCCGGACATTATGGTGGCCAACGCTAAACAAGTGAAACAACAGTCGGATCTCATCGAAACAATCCTCCTTATGATACACTTCGAGGGACATCCCAGAGGTTTTGGTCAACACTTTTTATTACATAATTCATTCATATTTATTGCATTATATATAATAGAGAATTGTCACATGCAATATATGGCCCGATTCTACTCAATAGTGTCGTGTCCGATGGACTTTCACGACGCGCCCGTAGATTCCCAGATGTGTTCAATACAATTGAGAAGTTGTAAGTTTAAAATAATTGAGAATTCAATTTGAATTATATCAAAATAAATTAATATAATGCATTTATGAAATATTTAAATTAAAAGTCGCGTTTGACAATAAGAGGATTGAACTGAATTGGACTGAAAAGGTTAGGGATAATCCAGATCTACGACTTTTAGAGCACGACTTTACCACATCGGAAGAAGTGATGACAACGCGAATGTTTAACCGTTTGTTTTTTAGTTTAATTTTTTGAATAAATAAATTTCAATAATTAAATTAAATTGAAATTAATATAATATGGTTTAGAGACATATTCCACGCTTAAGGTAAACATCAAATTCCAGCGAAACGTTGCAAACAAATTGGTGGGCGTTTACGCGCCGAGCATCTTAATAGTGTTGATCACGTTTTGCTCGTTTTGGTTGGGACTCAACTCCACACCCGAAAGGGTGACCATTGGTATAACCGCTTTGTTAGCACTCGTCACTCAATTCAATGACGCTCGCGGGTCATTAC